AACAAAACCACGAATTCATGTACAAATTCGTACACGCTCATATACAATTTACTTACCAATTGTAATTGGTAAAATTAAAATGTATAAATTTCAATTTCGGTTATCAGTTTATTCAACAACTAATTATTTCGTATCATATAACTGATTTTGTTTAAACTGCAGCTATAAAATAACTCTTTTCGTAAATCTACATCTCTAGTTTACAAATTTAATTAGATAAGCACAAATCGTGTTTCCTCAAATACAAATTTTTTGTTGATATTTTTATGTACTAGTTTATTCTTTTTCAAACTTAAGTGTCTAACTTCTCCAAATATGTTAAAATATCATATTTAATAAACATATCATTTATATTCAATATTATTTTAATAAGCAATCAATTAATTCAACTACAACTTATTTCGTATCCTATAACTGATTTTGTTTAAACTGCAGCTAAAAAATAACTCTTTTTTTAAATCTACATCTCTAGTGAATAAGTTTAATTAGATTAGAAAAAATCGTGTTTTCCCAAATACAAAATTTTTGTTGATATTTTTTATGTACTATTTTATGCTTTTTCAAACTTAATTGTCTAACTTTTCCAAATATGTGAAAATATCATATTTAATTAGCATATCATTTATATTCAATATCATTTTAATAAGCATATCATTTATATTCAATATACATTTTAATAAGCATATCATTTATATTCAATATCATTTTAATAAGCATATCATTTATATCCAATATCATATTAATAATCATATCATTTATATTCAATATCATTTTAATAAGCTATCAGTTTATTCAACAACAAATTATTTCATATCATATGATGATTTTACTTAAACTGTAGCTATAAAATAACTAACTAGATAGCATAAAATTTAGTTAGTTAAGCACAAATGGTAATTTCCCAAATACAAATTTTTTTTGTAGATATTTTTTATGTACTATTTTATTCTTTTTCAAACTTAACTGACTAACTTCTCCAAATATGTTAAAATATCATTGACTCTTAATTTGCAGAGAAAATCGCTTTCCAGACTCCGAATGCTTGGCCTTTAAAACTAAAATTTGAACGCTGGGCGTTCACTGCAATGGAGAAGGCCCATAGACGTCGCTCACCAACAAAACCACGTATTCATTAATAGAACCCAAGAGAGCCGTGTGGCGGTACTTATTACATGTAAACAGAGCCTTCCTTGGCAACTACTTTCTCCCCTAATGGTTCAGAACGCTGATATATGGTTGACATTTGATGAGAAAACTTTCTTTAATCTTCATCCGAGAAAAAGTTTCAATATTCATTATCTCTCAAAATCCGTTGCACTTTTACGAAACTGGCTGCTCTTTAACCGAGCTCCTTCCAATAAATAAGCACATCGGGTGGGAAATCTGAAGTTTATGGTTAAAGCTCCCGAAAGTGGTTAATGGACGAGCTATTTGTCAAAGTTGTATTAGTTTAACCTGGTGTCTCAGCGGTTGGTTTTTTAAAATCATACGAGATAAAAGAGACTTAAAATTCAATAGGATTCAGCAAAGAATAAAATAATTAATTGGTAAGATTTCTGATAAAAAAAAGTATCCAATGCTCGTTATTTTTTTTACTCTTTGTCAAAGTTGTAATAGTTTAACCTGGTGTCTCATCAGTTGTATTTTTATAAAGAGTGGATTCACACAAGATAAAATAGACTTACTTTGTAAATTCAGTATGATTCAGCAAAGAATAAAATAATTAATAGGTAAGGTTTTTGATAAAAAAAAATTCAATGATCGTTATTTTTTTTAACTCAAATGTTATATATATATATATATATACTCAAATTGTTAGTTTTTTTACTCTTTGTTAAAGGTGTAATTGTTTAATCAGTGTCTCATTAGTTGTTGTCTGTAACCTGTGTCTCATCAATTGTTTTTTAAAAAGAGTTGTATTTTTAAAATCACATGAAATAAAATAGACTTTTAAAATTCAATAGGATTTACCAAAGAATATAATAATTAATTGGTAAGATATTTGATAAAAAAAAATTCAATGATTTTTATTTTTTAATCAAATATTGAGTATATATATATATATATATATATATATATATAATATATGTATAAATATTTAAATTGTTATTTTTCACTCTTTATGAAAGTTGTAATAGTTTAATCTGGTGTCTCTTCAGTTATATTTTTATAAAGAGTGGATTCACACAAGATAAAATAGACTTTTAAAATTTAGTAGGATTCAGCAAAGAATAAAATAATTAATTGGTAAGATTTTTGATTAAAAAAATTCAATGATATATATATTTTATATACATATATATACTCAAATTATTATTTTTTTTTACTCTATGTTAAAGTTATAATAGTTTAACCTGGTGTCTCATCAGATGTCGTTTTAAAATCACACGAGATAAAATAGACTTTTAAAATTCAATAGAATTCAGCAAAGAATAAAATAATCAATAGGTAAGATTTTTGATAAAAAAAAATCAATGTTCGTTATCTTTTTTTATTCAAATAATAAATTAAGTTAAAGAGTTATTGCTTTTATAGATGATAATAGTATAATTAAGAACTTTATTTATAGATATTAAAATAAGTTATATATTATAGATTTCTTTATAGGTTGTTGTAGAAGTAATCAGTTCAAGCTCTTATCACGTAAGAATTAGATAATAATTTATAAAATAGCATGCGTTTACTATCAGAAAAGGATAAATACTTTAGAATAAAAATAATTATGTAGTTGAATGGATATTAAAGTTATTGTTAATATTTTTATTATTAATTGGAAAATCATTTTTAAATGACTAAAACTTTCTACAAAATAATTTACAATCATAAAATTTGACTCATTTTATTTCAATCGAAATAGGGTCTGAATGACCGAGTGGCTAGCGCTCTGGCGCACGATACCACAGGGTTCGAGTCCCGGCGGTGCCATGGATGTTTGTAGTGGTTCGGAATCCACTTTAAACCGTAGATCCCGGTCTAATAGGATCGTAGAGCGTTGCGGGGCATTGTTACTCCGTGTCCGGGGCTTATCTTCAAGTCACACGCGCCCCTGGATAATGCAAAGTGAGTAACGTCTGTGCAGCGCTTGCCTTAAGGCATCCAAGACCAAGCTGTCTAAGTGTTTGTCAGCTGCATTAGAAAGAAAAAAAATTTTCAATCGAAATTAATGTTTCTATGTTATGTGCAACTAATTTCTGTCAGTTAAACATTAATATTGCAATTAAATGTGTGTTTATTTAATGTGGGCGTACTACATCCTTAAATACTCGGAATAAGAACATTTATAAAAGTTCATTCCATTTGTCCCGAGAAAAAGTTGATGCATGAACATTTTATTATTTTCAGTCTCATTTTCTTTTTACAGAACTGAAATAAATTATTCATCAGAAATTAGCGTTTGTAATACAAAGAAGGTAATTAAAACTGAAGACATTTTGAATTGCATTTTAAATCTATCAGTTCAACTTGAGTTAAATTATTCGTGTAAAAACGCTTACCTTCATAATTTATCAGCTGATGAGCTTGTAACTGTTTGGTGTTGAGCATCAAAACTGAGGAACTCAGTATGAAAACTGATAGGTGAATCGATTTGAAATTTCTCTTATATATGACAAGTGTTGAAATATCAATGTATAATTATAAAGTATATATATATATAGCTGGGAGGAAATATAACTAATTGGATGTAACTCAAAATAAATCAATCACCGTACTCCAATAATAGAAAAGAATTAAAATCCGGCTTAGAAGTGGCGAGAAGTAAAAATAAGAAATGAAAATACAACACTAGAGGCGGTATATATGGAAATATATACACGTAATGATAATGATCTATGCCTACACACACATATATATATAGTTCAATATAGCCATGTGTTATTCTGGAAAAAATAAGCCAGAATAACAGTTGTTATCTACTTCTGTAAGATGATATCATCATTATTTTCTCTATTTTTCACAGATATAAATAAAATAGCAACTTTGCGGTAATTGGCAAATCTATAGCAAATCAAATTTGAAATTAAATCTTACTTTGTGAATATAAAATTGTTCAAGGACACTAAACATACAAACTAAATATAAATTTTCTTGTAATGAGCACAAATATAAAATAATTTTAAATGTTATAGTTTTGGGATGAAAGGAAGACTTGTTAATATACAGTCAGAGTATAGTTTTACCAAGTACATAATAATCAGGACCATAAATATATAAACTTTCGTAAGTTATTTTGTTTGCTTTATATATTATGTGCAATAATGTTACCTTTTAATAATTTCGATTCCTATGGAAAAAAAAAAAATTTCTGAATTATAAAAATGGGATTAGTCATTTTCTGCTTTTATTTCTTTGTCGTCTTTTCTTTCCCAGATACTCTTTGTGATTTCAGTCTTTGTTTATTTTTCATTATTTTTTTTCTTCGAAGCACACCAGTGTACCCCACTAGCACAGAAGTTTAAGTCTTTCAACTGCATTTCCTTCCCTACTTTCTCACGAAAACTTTTTCAGCTTGATGGCCATTTCATCATTATAAAGAAAAACAATTAAATTATGAGCAAAGTCAATTTTAAGAAATGTTGCTAAAGGACAAATCCAATAGTTTTAGGATAATAATTGTGAAAATGTTTCCTAAAATCTAGTTTTTAATTGTCTCTTTAATATAAAGGGAATTATCTCTACAGATAAGCGTATCTATAATCGATATGTTGTTGTTTTGTTGTTTCTTATCTCACTTGGCTGGCCAAGCCCACGATCCCATACGTACTCATGATTGAAGGGGAAGGAAGAAGCTTCTGTTGTGATGGAGCACCCCGTAGGTAGAAGTCTGACTTTGGCTCCGTGACGCTCTTACAGTCATAAGAGACCGGGACCTACTGCTTAAAGTGGATTCCGAACCACTACAAACATCCATGGCACCGCCGGGATTCGAACCCGAAACCTGTGGGTACCGAGCGCCAGAGCGCTAGACACTTGGCCATTCAGGTCCCAAATTTGTGAATGCCAACGGCACGCGGTGTTCCCAGGTGGTCACCCACCCAAGTACTGACCGCGCCCAATGATGCTTGACTTCGGTGATCTAACGAGAACCGGTATATTCAGCATGGTATGGTAGTTGGCTATAATCGACATTAATCTTTTAATGAATTGAATAATGATTTGATCATTCGACTAAAAGTGATATTTTGATTTGCTGTGACCTGCGACACTAGGAAGATTAATATTATCATGATAAGGTTTGACTCAAGGAATAGAAATTGGACTTAATTATAAATGAAAATGCTCAACATCCATACAAATGTCTTAGAGTCATCTTAGACAAATGCATTTCAAGCCATGTATTGTAGCATTTTTCTCACGTTTCAGTATTTCATTCCCAGGTGAGAGAAATGCATATTCTTTGACAAGTACATAATAACAACCTACCACTCAAATTTGACAGCAGACAAGCAGTGTTGTGGGGTAGTTATATTACATGCAATTAGTGCTTTGCACTAATGTGACTAACCTGCCACACAAATCTTATAGCAGATATACAGTGTCATGTATAATGAGACATGAAATTAGTGATTGTCTGTGTGGCCTCCACAGGTAGAAACAATTACAGAAGGAATATGGACTACACCACGAGTTGTACCATCGCGATTAGTGATATACCATGAGCTGAGAAATGTCTACTCCAATCAGAAGGGAGGGAAATAGATCTTTGTAGATCCTTCTTAAAGGGGGGGGGCTGAAGAATAAATGAGTTCTGTCGACCAGAAGTGTTGGTTTTTCTCTCTGGAGTAACTGAATAGGCCAGAATTTCAGCCAGTTTTCCAAAGTGAACCCCTTGTGGTTTCATTTACCAAGCCGTGTGATAATTAAGGTCTTCGGTAGAGCAGCCAATTAGATTCGACGTACACTCGAAAACTCTGAAAAAGCTCCTATCTTGGAATGAACAGCACTTGTGATTTAATCGTATACTTGTGATAAAATTTTATTTTTCATTTTTCCTTTTTTTATAATAACCCAAAGTTCATTATATCTATATATAATATATACGTCTATATATAGGTCTAATATAGGCCGACACGTTACAGTAGACAGACGGCCTTAGCCCACCATGGGGTTGTTGCGTCAATTAAAAAGAACTATCACTCATTCAAATTGTCCTCTCATTGGACTAATTGAGTTCAAATTTTATAGACATTCGTTTTTGGTGGCATCCATATATTTTATTTATTTAAAGTAGAATATTTTTAAGGAAAAAAGAGAAACAGTTTTTAAAGGATGACCTGTGGTACTATTTAATGCAAATTTTCTTTCTACTTCATCCTAACTCTTTTCACGCGGTAGTTTATTTTACTTTATTATACACAGAAGTTATTTTGGAGATAATTGCTGCTGTAATATCTTACAGCATTAAATTTTCTTAACTTCTTAAACAATTCAAAACTTATATATAACCAATGTTGAATCAAACAATCTTCTCATTTCGTATTCAAGAAGTCTTTTTTTTACGAATTATAACAGGAGTTAAACTTAGAAATACAACTTTCCTTAAAAACAAAATAATATCCATTTTTTTACTAAAGTCGATTGAAGCAGTTCAAAACAAAAAGTTATTTTAAAATCTTAATTTTCAAGTTCATAAAGTGGACTTACTTAGTAGAAAATTATGCCAAAGCATATTTTGCTTTAATCAGAAAGACTTTAAGATTTAAACAATCTAAAACAAAATAAACCTCATATTAACATTATTAATTTATTCTGAGGTTTTATAAATAATTTATAAATAATCCTATCAGATCTGAAAAAAACTTAGAATCGAGATTCAAACTTTCCGTGTTACATTTTGATTTTAACAAACGAATCGAGATAGGCCCTCTAGCAAGAAAATAAGTTGACAAGACTCTTGTTGAGCTGCATTAAACTCTAGTTCAACAGGTATTGGTATGCCATTGGCACTTTGCTTATTTGTTACATAAATTAGGAAAATCCCACGCATATTTAATGGGAGGAAGTAAAAAAATATATAAGCGCAAGAGGAAAAAGAAGCATTCCAATATAAAAATCTAAAAAATTTCAGCTCCGGAGTGAACTGTATGAAATGGTGAGTAAGTATTATATAATGGCCTTGTTATCTACCATTTCAATAAAGTACTATGAAAAAGACATATCCAATAGAAAGATTTGTGAAACCTTTTCCTACAAGTCAAAGAAATCAATTGTCCGACTCATGGCTCAGTGGCAATGTGTGCCGCTGGTGAATATTAGGGTTAAGGTTCAATCCGCTGCCAGCTTTGTTGTAGACACTGTTTCAAGAAACGAGGAGCCTCGATGATGTTTGAGATGTTTAACATCTTGTCTCGTTAGTCGGACTACCTCTTGAGAGTTTTCCGGGTTTTCTTGCAGGGGTAGTTTTTCTAAAAGTCCTCCTGGAAAGCGCTGCCCTCCTTCTTCAGAATCTCGGTGCTAAGTCAGGCTGCTACCTACTAGTGTTCCATTACAACAGAAGCTGCCCTTCCTCTTCCTCCTTTGATGAGACTGCACGGGTTCTTGGACTTGGTCTAGATGTTGCTGTCTACCAAGTGGGATAAGAAACAAGAAATCAATTAAGGATTTCTGATTCGAGGTAATCAACTAACAAATTGGCATAGTTTAAGCCTTTATCTTTGATAAAATCTGTACCCTATTATTCTAGAAATAATCCCTCTTGAGAATAGGTCCCCCTACTTTAAACCTAATTAGAATTTCCCCCTTCGTCCTTGAAAATACTCTATTTATTATTCGATACTTTATTCATGCTCATGTGTAATGTATTTTTTGTAAGCAAATGATTCATATTGGTGATTTTCATTTGTTTATATGTTGATTGATGTTTTATTTTGATTATAAGTACCCTTTTAATTTACTAGATTTTTAAATTGTAAAAAAGGTTTGGTTTGGTTTGTCGCTATACGGTCATTTTGTGCACACAAGAGCTAAACAGACCGAGACCTACAGTTTAAAGTGAATTCCGAATCACTAACAAACATTCATGCCAACTCCAGGATTCAAACCTGGAGCCTGTGGTACAAAAGGCCAGAGCGTTAGCCAATTGGTCATCAAGCCACCTGTAAAAAAGGAGGTATATATATTTTTGAAGTAATATATAATATTATATAATCTCTCTTAAGCCTAAATTTGTCATGAATTTCGAATTTCATCTCTTATATTTAGGAGGAGTCCCATTTACAGAAGAGTGCATTTTAGGGATTTCATAATTTATAAAATATTTGTATTACTACTGATACTCAGTACTACTGTACTGATAAAAACCTTCAATACTTTACATTCTTTATAAGCAAGAGTTTTGCAGCTTTATTTTTATATATAGGTTAAAATGATTGTTTATCTAGCCAGGGAAAAAATAAACAATTTTTTCAAAATACAATGAGAAATGTAATTTCTCAATACGAGTATCTATTAAGAAATTGGGAATTTTTTTATTTTTCGTTATTTCAAATATTATTTTTTCAATATGATATTGAAGTAAAAGAGGAATTGTTTGTTAAGAGCAAAGTTTGTTCACGAAATGTATTTTGTTTAAAAACTGCAGAATAATAACTGCAGTAAATAATAATGTATAATATAATAATGTAATAATATAATGTATAATGTAATAATATATGTAATATAAACTATAGAATAATGTATCCAGCATTGCAATTCACCAAAATACCAAGAAAATTTATTATTTCTCATCTACTATTAATCAAATATCATATCATATCATATAATTAAATACCATATGCCTAAATCTAGAAGTAAGGTTTGAAATGCTTTAATTTGTTACTATTTTAACATCGGACACTTTTTTCAAAAAATTATATCCTCACTTTAGAAACTGATTTCTTTTTTTAACTACATATATGTAGTTAAAAAAATAACAAGCTGAATATAACAAGTTGAAGCAAGTATAACAAGTTGATAAAATAATATAACAAGTTGTTGTTATACTTGCTTGTTAAACTTGTTATAACAAGTATAACAAGTTGAACTGTGTTGAATTCATTTGAAACACTGCATCGATTTCAAAGAGCCCGGGTACGACCTTTCCTCGTGAAACAAGATCGGAAAGGGGGGCCAATAGCACATGATTACAGTTATCACAAAGTTATTAGTCAGACATTGGGTCGCAATAACAGGTGGCGCTTTCTATTGAGATAACTGTGACCGAACACAATGAATCTTCACACACACACTATGAGTTTCCATGGCGACGCTTGGGACCAGCTGCGTCTACCTGCCGTGCAACCAAGTGGAACTACCAAGAGCAGATTGCGCAGGTGAGACGATGCGTGACATCAAGTAGAGTCCATCGTCTCTATAAATATAATTGTATTCGAACACTCTTTAGCCAATCAGAATGCATGTAAATGGAACGAAACCAAACACTCATTATGAGTTCTTCGTACTCCAGTGCTCCCCCAGAAAGAGTTAAAGAGCAGCAAGATCTCAAGTGGTCCTATAATGTCAATTTTTATGGCAATAAGCAAAAT